AGTCAGCTGGGGCTGCTGTAACAAAACACCATGGACAGGGGCTTCAGCAACAGACATTGCCCGCCCTCCTGGAGGTGGGAGTCGGCAGATGAGGTGTCTGGTGAGGACCCTCTTGGCTGTGTTCTCCCATTTCCCTGTGGGCTCACATGGCCTTTCCTTGGTACATGGGGGCGGGGGAGAGAAGGCTCTTGTGGTCTTTCCTCTTCTTATCAGAACATTAATCCCATCACAGGGGCTCCACCCTCAGGACCTCATCTAAACCTGGTCACCTCCCAAAGCCCCCGCCTCCCAGTACCATTACACTGGGGGTTAGGGTTTCAACATAAATTTTGTAGAGACACAAACATTCCGTTCATGACACTTCGCTGATGGCTCTGAGCCAGGCTCCTGGCACCTGTCCTCAGCCCAGAGCTAGAAGGGAGTGTGGGGAAGAGCTTCTATAAAGCCCAGGCCTGCAGTTCCACGTCACTTCTGCTCCCGTGAGCCGGGCACATGGTCACACCTGAAGGCGAGGCGTCCTGGGCATGTGGACCTGGTGGGAGGCTGACCTCACTCTTCACTGTGGAGGGAAATATAAATGTTGCTGAGCAGGGAGCTGCCTCCAGGAGGAATTGCCACCCTTGGGAGATATTAAAGTGATAGGACTACAGGCCTTGGTGATCGATTAAGGGTGACAGAGAAGCAAAGCGAGAGGGAGGGTCACACACATCAGAATAAAGTCATTGGCCAGTGTCAGGCTCCTGTTGGCCAGGCTGCACAGTATATAGTACCCCTCCGCCATTCTCCTTCCCCCCCTAATCATCTTACACTCAGTTGTATAGATTTGCATTCTTCTTTGTATGATCTCATTTAGGAGGATATCCAGTCTTGCATAGACTGCCCTGCATAGTCTGTTACATTAATAATAACTATTATCAGGGCTTCATAGAGAGACCCCTTGTGTGAATTAGCCCAGTTAGTGCTTGGAGGAGGCGGGCACTTTCATGGACCCTGTTTGCAGTTGTGAAGATGGGACTTTGGGCAAGTGAAGTAAGTCGTCTAGGCCCAGCGGGGAGTGAGCCGGGTGCTGTCTCCAGCTTCCACACACTCAACCTGTACAGAACACCGTGTGGTCGGGAAGTCTGTGTCCCCTTGATGTTGACAGCCGTGGAGACTGAGACCTGGGAGAGGCAGCTGATCAGCCAGGGGTCTCCTCCCATTAATGGTAGCTAGTTTCAAACGATCAGTCCTTCCTACCACCCTCTCCCACCCTTCCCTGTCTCAGCCCTCAGAGCAGGTGGACAGCCCGAGAGGTTGCAGAGAGCCAGGGGTGCCCTGTGTGAGCACACTCTTTCCCTACCTACCACCCGAGGCCCAGGCCGAGGAGGGTCCCTGCTCCATCAGAGACAGGAGGGCACGAAGTCTGAGCCCCTCGAGGTGGCACTGCTCGTAGCTCCTTCTCCCTTCTTTCTCTCTCCTTAGGACTCAGAGGATGCTCTGAGGTGGAGAACATGTAATGGCACTGATTTGGAACTTATGTATGATAGTCTTTGTCGTAGGTGTAACCAAATAGTTTAGAGGAAGAAAATAGCTCTTTCCCCAGACTTTCCTTGGAAGAGAGAGAGAGAGAGAGAGAGAGAGAGAGAGAGAGAGGGATCTTGTGGTCCTTCCTCTTCTTATCAGAATATTAATCCCATCACAGGGGCTCCACCCTCAGGAAAGGCCATGGGAGCCCACAGTCACCTATATAAGTAGGGATTGTATTGGCTGCAAAGGACAGACCCGAACCACTGGTGACTTACTGTAAGGGCTTATTTCTGCCTCCTGTGGGAGATGGGGCCAGGCAGTCCAGTGGCTCCCCAGACGCCCCCGGGGCGCAGGAGTCTCCCCCCCCCCCCGCCCCCATCCCTCTGCTCTGCTTTCCTGGGCAATGGCTGCTATTCTCAAGATCCGTTCACGGTCCCAACATGGTCTCACCCATGGTGTCTGCACTCAGAGAAGGGGGTGAGGGAAAGAGCTCTGGCAGATGAGGAGTTTCCTTGTCCCCGCCCCCCCAACAATGAGTTTCATATGAATCTCATGGGTCAACTCTTGTCATAGGGGGGCTGAGGAATATCATAGTTTAGCTGAGCATATTGCTGCCCCCAATACAATGGAGGTGTTATTCCCAGGGAAGATGGGGGGGAGGACATTGGACAGGGAAGCAGTAGTCTCTGATACTTTCCCCAGAACACCAGATTCTGGCGGGGGCAGCGTGCTGAAGGCTGGTGAACGGCAGTGTCCTTCTCTGAGACAGGTGATGGAGAGGAGGAGGGGGATGAATTCCATTGGGGCAGGTTGCCTTTAAGCTGCTGGAAGTCTGAAGGTGAAGGTTTTTGTGGCAAGCAGAATAATGCCCCCCCACCCCCGCCCCAAAGATGTCTCTGTCCTCATCCCTGAAACGTGTGAATAAGTTGCCTCACGTGGCAAAAAGGAATTTGCAGGTGTGATTAAGTGAAGGGGTAGATTGTGTCCCCTGCCAAATTCACACTGAAGTGCTGAGCCCAAGGACTTCAGAATGTGACTGTATTTGGAGACAGGGCCTGGAAAGAGGTAATTCGGTTAAAATGAGGTCACTGGTGGGCACTAATTTACATACCGGTGTCCTTATAAGAAGAGGGAATTAGGACACAGGCATGTACAGAGCGAAGGCCATGTGAAGGCACAGGGAGAAGGTTGCCGTCTGCATGCCCTGCCGACACCTTGATCTTGGACTTCTAGCCTCCAGAACGGTGAGAAAACCAGTATCGGTTGTTGAAGCCCCCACCCAGTCTGTGACACACGTGGTGGCAGCCCTGGCGAACTAACACCAGGCTCCGAAAGCGGGGAGGTGGGCGAGGGCTATTGACGTGGCCCAGCAGGACCACCAGGTCCTTCTAAGGGAAGCAGAGGTCGGACTGATGTGGTTGCTGGCTCGGAAGGTGGAGGAGGGGGCCGCCCGCCAAGCAGTGTGGCAGCCTAGAAGCTGGAAAAGCAAGGAGCCGATTTCCCCAGGAGCCCCCAGCAGGAGCGCAGCCCCGCCCACATCTTGATTTGAGTGCCTCCTGTGAGATCCGTTTTGGACTTCTGACTTTCAGGATGATAAGGTCATAAACTGGACACTAAATTTTAAATAAACGTTTAATTTATTTTTTAATTTGAACGACTACGTTGATGATGATTTTCTTTACAGCAGCCACAGGAAGCTGACACATTTTCTAACAGGCATTTAGACACTGAGGATCGATGGGGAGTCACCAGCACGCAGAACAACTGGAGCCCTGGTCCTGGAAGGAACCGTTTGGAGCAGGAGAGCAGGGAGGAGAGAGGGGTCTAGGGAAGGACCCGTGGGGAGACACGTCCAGGAAAGGACAGACCACACTGCTGCTTCTCGATGGCAGGGTCTCCGGACAGACGTGTGCCAGGGGCTGGGTGGGCCGGTGTGGCCCCCGGCGTTGTGTGCAGTCTGCGTAGATGGAAACCTCAGACAGGAGCTGGCCACTCCCCGTGAGAGCTGAGGGCACAGGCTCAGGGTTTTGATGGGGCAGGAGGTAGGACCTGGATATACGATGACCTGGTTTAGCAGGGTCTAGGAGGCCAGGTCCAAGGCTCATCAGTGACTCCTCTCTCGTCTTGAATGGGGCAGGGACGGTCTTTTGAAAAATGGGGAACAGGACAAATGTCCCACAGCACCTCTCCCTGCAGGAAGACTTGGAGTCCAGCAGCTCCAAGCCCTTGAGAAATGATACTGGATCTTGACTGCTGTCTGGTTCCGGGTACTCCCGCGAGAGGTGACCTTGAACTGTTGAGGGGTTATGAACTTGGCCTACAATGTGATGGAAAGGCACAGTAGCCAGGGCCAGGCAGTTCCAAAGCCTCCTGCTGGTCAGCAGGAGAGTCTGGCCTGTGGGACAAAGGCCGGACCAAGGCCCCCGCCTCTGACGGTGTCACTCGTGCTGGTGGTTGGAGACCCCCATTCCTGCCTCTGACCATTCACGTGGCAGAAAACCAGGAGTTCAGGGGATGAGAACATGGGACCTCAGAGGCAGCTTTGGGCCTCAATCTCTGATCGGTTGCTTATGGGCTGTGAGACCTGGGACAAGCTCCTTACTTTTCTGAGCCGTGGTTGTTTCTCTGTAAAATGTGCTAAAAAGGACTGGATGTGGGGGGAGCGAAACCTATGTGAATGCCCCCCGCTGGGTGCTGGCCCCTCAGAATGCTGGGTCTGCCTGGCTGCTGCCTCCTTGTGTCCCCCTGGCTCCTGGCCACCTTCCCGGGTGGTGTTCTGGGCCCCTGATTGCTTCATCCTCCCAGCCTGTCCCCCAACCCCAGCTCCGTTCTTACTTGTCCTGCCCTGCCACGACCCTAGCGCTTTGCTCCCCCTTGGAGGCCTTTGGAGGGCTGACTGGGTGGGGTAAGGGGTGTGGCCTGTGGAGCCAGGCTGCCTGGATTCAGTCCTGGCTGGGTGTTGTCCTAGCTCCGTGTCCCTGTGCCTCACTTACTCACCTGTCAAGGGGAATGATGGTGGTGGTACCCTAGGCCCGAACATTTGGAAAGGATTAAGTGAGTTCATGCATAGAGTGCTTAGAGCAGCCCCTCGTACGTGGTAAACACCCACGGAATGTTTATTCTTTCCAGCCGGGCCCCTTCTCTGTTCTTCCAACTCCACTGCAGAATGTCTCTGCCAGGTGCCTCTTACCTCTCTCCTCCTCCCCCTTCTCACAACCCCCCACCCCGCCTTCCCCACTACCCAAGCCCCCTGGCACTCAGAGGTGTCCCCAGAGGCCTTGCCATGCTCAGGCAGCTCCCTGGCCCACATTTAATACAGACACGCTTGGGGCTCTGGGTTAGTTTTCCAGGGGCCTCCGATCTTGGCGGGTGGAGATAGTGACGATGGGTGGGTGTGGAGGGCAGGCGGGTGGGGCATCACGACTGAAGGTGCTGCAGGAGTGGAAGCAGGAATAACACACTGCTCGCTGTGCAGACCTAGCACCACCCTCTTGTTTTCCCTCAGAGGACAGGGCAAGCTGGGACAAGCAGAAAGTCAAGGACACGAGGAATCTGGTGGGAGCCCAGTGAAGAGAGTCAGGATGCAGACCTAGAGGGGCAGAGAGGCTGGGCTGGGAGAAAGAGGGGCTTAGGAGGAAGGAGGAGGCCATGAGGAGCCCGAGAGCTGAACTGCCACCCTTGTGCTTGTTCCCCGGGACAATGACAGGCTGGCCCAGGTGCTGCCTGCCCCACCCTGGACCACTGACTCATTCGGAAGCTGCCTTTTCTGCCTCTATTGTGGCCTCCCTACTGGACGGATGGGATGGAGAGTAGGGTCATCAGCTCCTGTGAGGCCCCGAGGAACCATGCATGAAACCCACCCTGCCCCTTTTCTCCTGGGCAGCTCCCGGGTTGGGGAGCGGACATGTGGTGATGAGAGGGGCAGCTTAGAGGAATGAATGAGTGGACCCAGTCCCAGGAATTCTGGTGGAGCAGAATGAAACAGCAGGCACTGTTAAATAGAAGAAGTAGAATTCACTGGTAAGGAGCATGTTGAATACAATTCAACATGACATCAATTCCTTTAGGCCTCAGATTCAATTGCACTCTCCGGGGAGAAGAGCGATGGGGGATAATGCAATCCAGCTGGCTGAGCTCGGGGATGCTGGCCCTTCCCGACCCGCGGGCATGAACGCGGTCATGTGGTGGAGCTTTGGTCAGAGACAGGGCATCTGACCTGGGCTGCGTTCACAGGCCAGGCACACCCATACCTCAGGCTTCCACGGGTGAGGCTTTGGCAAAACCCTTTAGTGTGACGCTGGCGTGCTCCTAGGCCCACAGCCGTATAGGGAACCTCAAGGGGGTTGCAGGACGCTTGGGGAGCTGTCCTCGGAGCTTTCCTGTCTGAAAAACTAGCTTGAGGAGCAGGGAATGTGGGCAAGTATCGCTGCAGACTGCAGGGGAGTCCAGAGCTTGGACACTTTCTAGAGTCCTGGCTGTCCCCAAACTTCCTTCCACTAAGACATGGTGGTAGTGACATCCTGGGGCCTCCTCCCACACCTCTGCCCAGACGACCAGCTTTCGGGCAGATGAGTCAAGACACAGGGAGTGTGGATTTCCGTTGAGCTAACTGGGAGACCTGGGAGACCACCACCGCATTTGCTCCCCTGCGAGAAAGCATCAAGGAATGTAGGAATGACATGACAGGGCCACTACTGAACCTGCCTTCACGGCAGAGAAAGGAAATGATCTGCAAGCCGGTCACTGGGGGCACCGGAACTACAGTTAGTGACATAGCACTTGCAACACCCCAGGGTTGATCCTGACCCCCTGTTTGCAGGGGCAGATGGGCTAAAGGACTCAGCCACACTGAATGAAGGACATGACCATTCTGGGTGAAGCTCAAAGGCCACCAGCTCCCTAAACTCTGGCTCCTTGTAGGAAGGGTATGGGATGACCTCATGTCACAGGTACCTGCCTTCATGGAATTTCCCATGATGCAGAGGGAACCAGGTAGAGATGCCTGGAGGGCTGTTGAGAGAAAGGTTGCCATGGTGACCAGGAGGCCAGAAGACTAAGGAGTGAAGGGAGTCAGCTCAAGCCCAGGCTGAGTGCAGGGCAGGACACGTTTTCCTCCCAGCTCCTTATCAGTGCTCTCCACTGGCCGGGGCCTGACCTAGGGCGGCGTGGTGGCAACCTGTCTCAGGTACCCCTCCTCGTCTGTCACCTGAGGGTCTCTGGCCTTGGGAGCACCTTCCAAGTGGGTGCTGTCTGTTTGGCAGGCCCTCAGGAGACCCCCTTCCAGTCTCCCACACACCCCGGAGGCCCTCGGTGTGCCCCAGGAGAAGCTGTCCTGAGGCACTTGGGGGGAGAAGCAGCCACAAGGAGGGGCGAAGTGCAACATTTGGGAGGTTAGAAGAGTTTCTATGCAGTTTCCTAAATGTTCTCATGCTCCCGCCCCCATCCAGCTTACAAAGACAGTTCCTGCTGCCCTAGATGCTGCTCCTTCCTCCTCTTTGCTAGCTCTCATTCTCCTTTTGTTCCCATATTGAATGATGGGGACTCCAGTCTGGGTTAGATGCCCCCTCCTGCTGCCACACCCACCCACCTTTCTCCATCAAGTACGCAGCCCAGGGTATTGCAGTGCCTGCTGGCCGGGCTGTATCTCACATTTTGGGAAGAAGACTAGAGCAGGAACGTGTCTGTCTGCTCCCAGCCCAGGGCCTGACCCATAATATATGTTTGCTTGTTTGGTGGGTGGGGGCAGGGAGACAGATTTTTGAAACTGAATTCCGTCTCTGGAAACCTACAGACCATTCAAATGTGGAATTCTATCCTCTTAGTTTTGATTCTAAATGGCGGTGAAGGAGAGAGCAATCTTATAGAATCCCCCCGAAGCTCATCGTTGCTGTTCTAGAATCAAGGGTAGAGACAAAGAGGATGTTAGGGCCACATGCACTTGTCCTTGGCTAGTTGCCAAGCTCAGAGGGGAGAGTCGTCAAGGAGAAGGAGTTAGAAGGTCAAGGAGAAACTGTGACACCCCTAGCACACCCCACCGACTCTGTGAATACTGTGTAGCTGAGACTTAACTTCCTCGGCTGGCTGACCCAGCTTGTCCAGGGGGTCATGGCTTCCCCAGCTCCTTCACAGTTCACTCTTTGGAATGTTTGATACTTGTGACTTGTCTGGTCTCTTGAAATGCAAGTCAATATCTCACCTATGAGCCGGGCTGGCAAACCCAGGGGTCAGAAGTCAGCCCCCTCTCCCCTCTCTGAAGGACCACTGTTGGTCAGTTTGGTTCTAGAAGGATGCAAATGTGAATCTAGCTCAGGCACTCAGCTCTGTAAACATGAGGCTCTCCTTGGGGCATAGCCCACCCCAAGGAATTTCCCAACATGCATAGCACTTGGCAGAGGGAGTTAGCTGAGTGACTCCTGAATGCATGACAGGGAATGGGAGCCATGAAAGGGGATGGCTGCGGGCAGGATCTAGGGGAGCATCGGTGATAAGACACTAAATGGATGCATCCAGCAATGCGCCCTCACTACATGGAGGGTGGAGTCCCGAGCTCTCTCTTTCCCTCATATCCTGGAAGTGGGCTTGCCTGGATCACTTTATGGCAAACCCCACCACCAAGGCGATGGGCTGTTGGATGTTGGTCATCAGATCTCCTCCTCCTGGTTGAGGTGCAGGACGAGGGGAGGCCAGCAGGAGAGGCCACCATCAGCGATTTAAGAAGAAGGACCGGATGCTCTGGAAGAACATGGACTTCTGCCTCTGCTTCTGTTTCTTCTTGATGATGGGCACCCACACCAGCCCGCACACCATCATCATGAGTCCCAGGGACAGGAACGCAGGCCCTGTCATCTTAAGGACCTTAAGGCTCATAACACCCAGAGTCAGGGTGTAGGCCAAGCAGGTGATGGCCACGCCGAAGAGGAGGATGGCGCCGCCCACGGACATGATGATGATGGGCTTGCGGTAGATCTCCCAGTTACTCCTGGGGGCTTCGGTCCAGACAGACTCACTTCTGGAGCTGATGCACAGGGAGCTGGCAGTCTGGCTGGGCAGCAGGTCCTTGGATTCAGGAGACTTCTCGTCGACCTCCAGGGCTTTGGGGAGAGCCTCCATCGTCACAGCTCCTCAGGACCCGGCATGTGGGACCTGCAGCAGTTGGAAGCAAGGGCAAAGCCAAAGGGTTCCTCACACACCTTCCTGCTCTCAGCATCCGCCTCCAGCCCGGCCTCAGTGGAGGGTCAGACAGGGCTTTTGTGCTGAAGCCAAAGGAAAATCAGATGAGAGCCACATAAAATAGAAACCACTCAAGCTGGTATGCGTTCTTCTTGCCAGAGATAAATATTATATCATCTAATCAAGTTTTTAGTATTTAAAACTGGGAACAGCAGTGCCCATTAAGCCAACAAAATCAGCAGTTTACTGATTGGCATCTTACTTTCAGACTCAATAGCTTTCTAGCTCTGTGATCTTGAGTGAGTTACTTAATGTCTCTGTGCCTCAATTTTCTTATCTATAAAATGGGATAATAGTACCACTTGTAGGGTTTTCAAAAGGGTTCAATGAATTAAGACATGTCATGCATTGGAACAATGTCTAGCATATTGCAAGCCCTCCACAAAGGGTATCATTTGTCCATTAGAGTAGTGATCCTTAATACATAATCGTATGTGTGCGCACGCACAGGTGTAGTGTCTGCTAGTGCTAGGCGCTGCACTAAATACTCTTTCATCAAACTGGAACCTCACAACACCCCTGGGAGGTAAGCATCCTATTTTACAGATGAGAAAGCCAAGGCTCAGAGAGGTGAAGCACGTGACCACAAGGTCGGATTAAACCCAGTCTGCTCTTCTCTGACAACACGGGCTACGTACGGGTTGGAGCCCATCTTTTAGTGCAGCCTGGGATTTTATGTGCTTTGTCAGCACAGGAAGTGAGAGAACGAAGAACTTCCTTTCTGTCCCCCCTCCCACTGCACCCTTCCCTCTCTCCTTTTTCTCCCTCCCTCCTTCCCGTCCACTGGTCACCAACAACAAGTCCAGCTTTCCTTACAACACTGCTATACCCACTCCCTTCTTCCAAGAGGAGCCTGGTGCCTCCCTGGGCACGCTCAGGTGCGCTGCGCTGGGGGACCAGGCGGGCCACTCTCTCCTCTGTATCCTGGATCCACAGCCTCTCTCACTGCTTCCCGCAGGGTCCCTGCCTGCCTGGGAGGAGCTCCCCAAGTAGCGCTCTCTCAAGCCTCTGTTCTTCTCCCTCCTCCAACTGCCTTTGGTCCTTGGTGTCTTTTCCCCTCCTCTGCCAGGTTCCCCGGGGCCTCTGACCCCATCAGCCCCACTCAAACCAGCAGTCACTAATATCCCTCCTGTGAGTGGGATGGGAGAGATTTCTCATCACAGCAAAAAGTTCATTGGGAGAGAAAGTAGGCTATTCTTCCCAGTCACAATGGGTCCCCCTGACCCACCCCAAACAGAGTGAGAACCAGACCCAAATAGGGAGCGGGGTGCATTTTTGGAGACTGTGGCACCAGCCCTGGTGAAAGACAGCTTGGGGTCAAGGAGATGGTGTCTGCAGCGGTGGGTCCCAAGCCCCAGCCCTCTGCACCTGCAGTTTCTTCTTTACTGAGGCACTTCCATAGACGGTCCGTCCCTTTAGTGACTGGGTTGTCCTTCAACACTTCCTACAATGTTAATTTCAGACAAATCCCCTCAACATCCACCCCCTGAACCACCACAGGGTAGTGTTCCCCCCTCCCCAAAGCACATGTTCCCCCTGTCCAGAGCAGCAGGTAAGGCGCCTCCCCTGAGGGAGGGAGGAAGGGGAATGATGAAATTGCCGTGCCTTCAGCATGTGGTGTTCATTCATAGACACTCGTCTCCAAAGACAGAAGTAGGATGACGTGCTTTGGAAGTGCAGACAGGTGTTCACCTCCCTTCAACCCCGCGGAGTATTTGCAAAGCTAAGCAATCATTTTAAAGTGACCTCTTCCCCGGTGGGCTGGGGGCAGGAGAGGGGTCACAGGCATATTAGGAAATCTTAGCCAGGAACCTTGTGTTGGTCATTGCCACCTGGTTCCTTAGGTGGGCAGTCTGACACCTTCAGGAGGGTTTTCTCTGGGTCGCCATTTCCACCACTTTGCAGGGAAAGCCCGGGGCAGAAGGGCTCGCTGCTCAGATGCTGCAGAGGTTATAATGGGGAATCTGGCCGTTTTCCACGGCGCTGGAGGAGAGCTGGGCTGAAGGAGGAAGGGCTGCGCCCCTGAGCCACCCTCGGGGTGTGAGGTGGCCACTGCATCATGAACAGGAAGTGGGCAACTGGGGATGGGACCCCTGCCAGGGATAGCGGTTCCTGGACGCTGAGGGCGGCGGAGAGACTGCCTGGCCTTGCTGGACTGCCTGGCGGAGGGATGCTCTTTATCCCTGTGAGGAGGTCATTAATGTATTCCCAGTTTATAACAGCAGAGACGGAGGCGCAGAGAGGTTCAGGGGTGAGGCCGCAGCCCCCCCACTTCTTATGCGGCTGTGCTAGGACTCAGGCCACGGTCTTTGGACTCAAAGCTCCTTGCCCAGAGCACACTGGTCTGGATGAGTCCAGAGGGTCCTTCAACTCTGACAACGTCTGAATTTTTTCACGTTGGGGCTTCATTCTGCAGTAAACTAGCCTCTCCCTGAAGATGAGTGCCGTAGATAAGTAATTGAACAGTGACTCAGCATACAGCAGGCAAATAAGGTCACTGTTGTTTTCCATAGTGTTACATTTATTTAATTTAAAGGACTATTTTTACTCCGAGATTATGTTCTTCCTTCCTTGTTTGGCATTGCTTCATTTTATGAAATGACCATGAGGGAAGATGATCATTGGTTTTGTTAGTATCTGTATTTGCCGAGCTAAAAGGTTGACTAGCCTGTGCAGATGTCTGCCTATCTATTATCTATCTATCTATATCTATCTATCTATCTATCTATCTATCTATCTATCTATCATCTATCATCTATCATCCACATTTATTTAGCTATCATCTATCATCTAAATTCTAATGGCCCATGAAATCCCCCAAATGGGAACCTTTAACTTAGTTTACTTACTGCCCTGGCCAGGTGGCTCAGTTGGTTGGAGCGTCCTCCGGTATACCAAAAGGTTGTGGGTTCGATTCCCAGTCAGGATACAAACGTAGGTTGTGGGTTTGATCCCAGGTTGGGGCATGTATGGGAGGCAGCCCAGTGATGTTTCTCTCTCACATTGATGTTTCTCTCTCTCTCTCTACCTCCCCTTCCTCTCTCTCAAAAGAAAAAAAAATCAATGAAAAACATGCCCTCGGGTGTCAGGTGAGGATTGAAAATAAACCTAGGGGACTCACTCAGGAAGAGGTGTGTCCGTGGGATAGTGAATGGCAGGCAGGGTGTGGCCGTGGAATGAACACTGTACTGGGAAGAATCACTCCTTCACAGGCCCGGCAAGCACTTAACTTACTTGCAGTGTCCGCATGCGACAGAAAGATCTGGAAAGACTGCGTTTGAACCCAGTTTGCCTTTCTGAGCTCTGGGACTTTGGGCAGGTTACTTACCACCCTGAGGCTTGCTAGCACCACGCAGGAGATACGGATAACAGAGTATCTGTCTCGCAGGGGTGGAGTGACTATCATCTCTCCCAAAACCCTGCTGAGTGTGTGACACATCCCAGGCGTCTAAGAGAAGGCCCTGTTGCTAATAAAATTATTGTCTTTCTTGGTCCCTGTTTCCTCATCGGTCTCGAGAAGAGGTTGGGCTGAGAGGCTTCTAAAGCTGCTTTAGATAGGCCCACGGGTGGTGAATCACAGGTGAATTCTGAGAATGCAGGTTCCCTGGAAATCACCCCCTGGGGGCAGTATGTGTCTTATAACTTTTTATTAAAACCCTAAAAGATTCTATATTTTTCTGATACGAGGGATTCTCAACAGGGCACTACTGATGTTTGGGCCAATTACTCTGTGGTGGGGACTGTCCTGTCGTTGTAGGGTAGTTAGTAACATTCTGGGCTCTACCCACCTTTCAGCAGCGGTTCCCCGCTTCAGTCATGATAATCGAAAACATCTCCAGGCACTGCCAAGTGCCCCTGGAGGGCAAAACCAAGCTGGTGAAGAACCAGTGCCCTAGGTAGGTTGGCCTTCCCTCCCTCCCATCTTCCCTCCCTCCCATCCTCCTCGCTTGCAAACTGCCTCAGGGCCAAGGCTGAGTTTACTCACCCTCCACCCAACAGTGACCCAGGGTGCACAGCCTGGCCCTGCTGGAGGATTTGGCCTTGACGCTGCCGCTCTGTGAGGGACCTGGCAACACCTGGGAGCTGGTCCCTTGGGAAGAGCCATGCTTTCAGGTTTGGATTAAGTTTTGGGGCCTTGGGTTGAATGGGTCCCTAGTCACCTGCAGTGGACTCAACTGTCCACCCAGAACCTCAGCATGTGACCCTAACTTGGAATAAGGGTTTCTGCAGGTGTAATTAAGGTAAGGATCTCCAGGTGAGAGACAGTGGAAGGCCAGAGACGCGGGGCCCCCTGGACTACCCACAGATTTGAATGTTGGCTCAGCCCTTTGGGCATCAATTTCCAAAGGGAGAATAGGTCCTACTCCCCTGGAGGCCACATTTGGAGAGTCAGGAGGCAGATCAGTGGGTGGAACTTATTTGTCGCACGCAGCTAGGAATGGGCACCTGCAGCTGGTGGGCTGGGCTGGGACTACGCAGCCATTGGTAGGAAAGAATGACAATCTCCCCACAGAAAACCATGCAGGAGTCTCCAAACAGGAGGCTGACCAAGACAAGCCAGATACATTTTCATTTACATAAAATGAGATTTCATTTAAATAAACTTCAAAACGCTATAAGATGATTGATGTTATTGGAGGTTAGGATCGTAGTTACCCTTGGCGGGTGGGGCAGTGTCTGAAAGCAGGGGTGCATAGAGACTTTTGGGGTGCAGGTTCTGACTATTGATTTGATAGTAGCTGGTGACATGGGTGTGTCCTATTTGAGCTGCAGACTTTTAATTGATTGCTTTCCTGTCTGTATGTTAGACATTAGTAAAATGTTTAAACAAAGATAATTAAAGGATATGACTTAATGCAATATTTCCCTTTCTTTAGATTCTGACTAGAACAAACCAATGATACAAAGACATTTTGGGATATTTTTGAGGACGTTTGAATATGGATTGGATATTGGATGACATTAAGGATTTAAAATTTGTATTCAGTATGATAATGATATTGCGGACACGTAAGAAAACATCTTTATAAATATTTAGATGCTTCTTGAAACAACATATAGGGATGACATATTGTGATGCTATGATCCACATGAAAATACCAAACTTTAAATCAAATATGACAAAATAAAATTATTAAATCTAGATGATGGATGTATGGAAGTTCACTATATTGCTATCCCTACCTTTATGTAGGTTTGCAAATGTTTATAATAAATTAGAGGCTGAATATGCAAATAGATGATGGTCAAACTATATATATAAAATAGGACTCTGACCCACAATTTGCAGCAACTAGCCCAGGAAACCAACTCCTACTCTACAGACACCAGAGCAAGAAGCCAGCCTCTGTCTATAGTCAGATGTGTAAGAAGCCAGGCTGCTGTCTGTATGTCAGACCTGTAGGAAGCCAGGCTGTTGTCCATAGTCAGACCTGTAGGAAGTCAGGCTGCTGTCTATAGTCAGACCTGTAGGAAGCCAGGCTGCTGTCTGTATTCAGACCTGTAGGAAACCAGGCTGCTTCCATAGTCAAGCCTGTAGGAAGCCAGTCTGCTGTCTGTATGTCAGAACTGTAGGAAGCCAGCCTCTGTCTGTAGTCAGACCTGTAGGAAGTCAGGCTGCTGTCTATAGTCAGACCTGTATTTCTCTCTCACATTGATGTTTCTCTCTCTCTCTCTACCTCCCCTTCCTCTCTCTCAAAAGAAAAAAAAATCAATGAAAAACATGCCCTCGGGTGTCAGGTGAGGATTGAAAATAAACCTAGGGGACTCACTCAGGAAGAGGTGTGTCCGTGGGATAGTGAATGGCAGGCAGGGTGTGGCCGTGGAATGAACACTGTACTGGGAAGAATCACTCCTTCACAGGCCCGGCAAGCACTTAACTTACTTGCAGTGTCCGCATGCGACAGAAAGATCTGGAAAGACTGCGTTTGAACCCAGTTTGCCTTTCTGAGCTCTGGGACTTTGGGCAGGTTACTTACCACCCTGAGGCTTGCTAGCACCACGCAGGAGATACGGATAACAGAGTATCTGTCTCGCAGGGGTGGAGTGACTATCATCTCTCCCAAAACCCTGCTGAGTGTGTGACACATCCCAGGCGTCTAAGAGAAGGCCCTGTTGCTAATAAAATTATTGTCTTTCTTGGTCCCTGTTTCCTCATCGGTCTCGAGAAGAGGTTGGGCTGAGAGGCTTCTAAAGCTGCTTTAGATAGGCCCACGGGTGGTGAATCACAGGTGAATTCTGAGAATGCAGGTTCCCTGGAAATCACCCCCTGGGGGCAGTATGTGTCTTATAACTTTTTATTAAAACCCTAAAAGATTCTATATTTTTCTGATACGAGGGATTCTCAACAGGGCACTACTGATGTTTGGGCCAATTACTCTGTGGTGGGGACTGTCCTGTCGTTGTAGGGTAGTTAGTAACATTCTGGGCTCTACCCACCTTTCAGCAGCGGTTCCCCGCTTCAGTCATGATAATCGAAAACATCTCCAGGCACTGCCAAGTGCCCCTGGAGGGCAAAACCAAGCTGGTGAAGAACCAGTGCCCTAGGTAGGTTGGCCTTCCCTCCCTCCCATCTTCCCTCCCTCCCATCCTCCTCGCTTGCAAACTGCCTCAGGGCCAAGGCTGAGTTTACTCACCCTCCACCCAACAGTGACCCAGGGTGCACAGCCTGGCCCTGCTGGAGGATTTGGCCTTGACGCTGCCGCTCTGTGAGGGACCTGGCAACACCTGGGAGCTGGTCCCTTGGGAAGAGCCATGCTTTCAGGTTTGGATTAAGTTTTGGGGCCTTGGGTTGAATGGGTCCCTAGTCACCTGCAGTGGACTCAACTGTCCACCCAGAACCTCAGCATGTGACCCTAACTTGGAATAAGGGTTTCTGCAGGTGTAATTAAGGTAAGGATCTCCAGGTGAGAGACAGTGGAAGGCCAGAGACGCGGGGCCCCCTGGACTACCCACAGATTTGAATGTTGGCTCAGCCCTTTGGGCATCAATTTCCAAAGGGAGAATAGGTCCTACTCCCCTGGAGGCCACATTTGGAGAGTCAGGAGGCAGATCAGTGGGTGGAACTTATTTGTCGCACGCAGCTAGGAATGGGCACCTGCAGCTGGTGGGCTGGGCTGGGACTACGCAGCCATTGGTAGGAAAGAATGACAATCTCCCCACAGAAAACCATGCAGGAGTCTCCAAACAGGAGGCTGACCAAGACAAGCCAGATACATTTTCATTTACATAAAATGAGATTTCATTTAAATAAACTTCAAAACGCTATAAGATGATTGATGTTATTGGAGGTTAGGATCGTAGTTACCCTTGGCGGGTGGGGCAGTGTCTGAAAGCAGGGGTGCATAGAGACTTTTGGGGTGCAGGTTCTGACTATTGATTTGATAGTAGCTGGTGACATGGGTGTGTCCTATTTGAGCTGCAGACTTTTAATTGATTGCTTTCCTGTCTGTATGTTAGACATTAGTAAAATGTTTAAACAAAGATAATTAAAGGATATGACTTAATGCAATATTTCCCTTTCTTTAGATTCTGACTAGAACAAACCAATGATACAAAGACATTTTGGGATATTTTTGAGGACGTTTGAATATGGATTGGATATTGGATGACATTAAGGATTTAAAATTTGTATTCAGTATGATAATGATATTGCGGACACGTAAGAAAACATCTTTATAAATATTTAGATGCTTCTTGAAACAACATATAGGGATGACATATTGTGATGCTATGATCCACATGAAAATACCAAACTTTAAATCAAATATGACAAAATAAAATTATTAAATCTAGATGATGGATGTATGGAAGTTCACTATATTGCTATCCCTACCTTTATGTAGGTTTGCAAATGTTTATAATAAATTAGAGGCTGAATATGCAAATAGATGATGGTCAAACTATATATATAAAATAGGACTCTGACCCACAATTTGCAGCAACTAGCCCAGGAAACCAACTCCTACTCTACAGACACCAGAGCAAGAAGCCAGCCTCTGTCTATAGTCAGATGTGTAAGAAGCCAGGCTGCTGTCTGTATGTCAGACCTGTAGGAAGCCAGGCTGTTGTCCATAGTCAGACCTGTAGGAAGTCAGGCTGCTGTCTATAGTCAGACCTGTAGGAAGCCAGGCTGCTGTCTGTATTCAGACCTGTAGGAAACCAGGCTGCTTCCATAGTCAAGCCTGTAGGAAGCCAGTCTGCTGTCTGTATGTCAGAACTGTAGGAAGCCAGCCTCTGTCTGTAGTCAGACCTGTAGGAAGTCAGGCTGCTTCTATAGTCAGACCTGTGGGAAGCCAGGCTGCTGTCTCTAGCATCCAGCCCAGCAAGCTACACGGTAACCCAGGACAACTGACTTTTGACAAATGCACCAAAGTAATTCAATGGGGAAGGGAAAGTCATTTCAGC